CGAGCATCCCCAACGCGTTCTGCAAGCTGAGCCGACTCTGGGGGCGTTCTTCTCTTGATAACTGTATGTAAGATAAAACAAACAAATTATAAATTATGCACCATCACAAAATGTGTGCATCATAAAATGTGTGCAGTTATAAACTGTGCTCCCTTTTTAGATTCCTGAGCTCCATTGTGGGGGGAAAAGAACAGACCCAACCACCAACCAAATTAGCATGTGATTTGTAATCATGGGGGATTCCTTCGAAGTCGGAGTGCCTCTGCCTGAGAGGCCAGGAACCAATAGTCTGCACACAATAAAGTCACTTATGTAAAACAGATGCACATGCAAAACTAAGTACTAAAACAAGAACAAAGTCCAGAAGTGGATGAACAACCAGAACATTTTGCAGGAGTTTGCCCCTCAAAAGGCTGGTTGATACACTGTGTTGTGGTTTACAGCCAAGCTGTGATATCTGCACCGTTCGGCCCAACACATCTGATTTCAGCAAATCTTTCATTCTTCTTCTGCCATTTATCCCCTAGTGGAGCATAGGCCCTCAACCAACTCACGCCAATTTGTTTTATCCTTTGCTTTTGCATACAGCTCACCCCATGCCCTTCCCATCTTTTTGACTTCACTCTCCAGTTCCCTTCTCCATGTGTTTTTTGGTCTTCCTTTATTTCTATGTTCCTGTGGGTTCCAGTGCAAAGACATTCTAGTTATACTGTTCTCAGGTTTTCTCAACGTATGTCCTATCTAATGCCAGTCTTTTCCTCACCTATTGGTCCACTGGAACTTTTTTAGTTCTATCACAAAGCAAATAGTGATTCTATCAAACAATTTAATTTCCTCTATTCTGTGCAGGCAACAGTTAATGAATGATTGTAGTTTATTGGTAAGATGTTTTAGTTGTTCTCCATGTTTGCGCTCCATACAACAGATCTGATTTGACATTAAAATTAAAAATTGTAAGTTTAGTAATAGCTTTAATTTCTTTTGACCTCCACAAACTTGCCTGTGCTATGAAAGCAAATCTTCAATTAGTTGCCATTTATGAACTACTTCTCATGGGGACAGTGGCTCTGTTCCCCCCCCCCCCCACCCCCAACCCTTAAATTAGACATGGAACCCACATGAGGGGAGACATCAGATCAATACCAGAGAGGCAGCTCAGGTAGAAACAAAACCCAGACTTTCTAACACTGCACTATGTAATCGCCCAACGTTTATAAACATAAAGCAGAAATTAGATATTGTGAGGGCCCTCTGGGAGCGAGTGAACAGTGCAGAGGCACAGACGGATCATTACGGTCTAAGGAGAATGGCGCTGCGAGGAGTTACCAGGAGATCTGGCTGACGCTCAACACTCAGGGGAAGGATGAGACGGATATACAATCAGACGGTTACTGGTACCATCGGAATTGGCACTCTTCGCTTGCTGCTGAAGATGGGGACTGAGCACTTATGGGAGTGTCCCGAGTGCTGTGATGTCGATTCTTAATTCAACATTCAACAAGTAGAAATCACAACAGACAAAAAATTCAACATTCAACAAGTAGAAATCACAAGAGAACAAAACAAGAGTACCTCCATCTGGGTAGATGTCTGCCACGTAAGTTCGGAGAAGTCTCAGGCAGGCTCTGGAGATAAAAACAATTCTCTGCAGCTCAGAAAGGATCTCTTCCTGTTCACCTTTGAACCCTGTAGAAGTTGGCACTGTGGCATGCAGGGCAGACCAGCTGTTTTCTAGCAGTTTCAAGAGAGCCTCCAGGCTTTGCTGTGGATAGATCAGCAAAATATTGATTTATTTCATGATGAATGAACAAACAAACAAACTTTATTTGAAAAGGTTTACAAATGCTTATTATGCTCGCTAGGAGGGCAGTAAGTATACTGTATGTGTTTCAAAATGGATCAAAATGGATCCTTGGAACCCACGGGGGAGGGGGGGGGGGGGGGGTGTTTGGGGAGTTTGATGAAGGTTCTTCTATGAACAAGTTAGGACTGTTATTTAAACCCCTGGCATAAAAATAAACTTTTATCTGCACCACTGGGTGGTGAACTGATACATGACAAGGCAAATGTGGTCAAGGCCCTTTGGGAACAATAAGCAACAGAATCAGTAGAGATAGAAGATGATTATGGCCTGGAGAGAATGAGGCACCTGGGTGTAACTAGAGGGTCTGGCCGGCTCACTACGCTCAGAGAAAAGGCAAGACGGACCAGATTGTAACCGTTACCATCAGTACTGGAACTCTGCACTGGCTGCTGGAGATGACAGAGCATGCATGGGAATGCCGCGAGTGTTGTGATGTCAATTCTTGACTCAACTCAACTCAATAAACTTTATCACCGGCTTAATTGGATTCAAAACCAGGTCTCCTGTCTGAGAGCTTAGAATTCAGACCACTTGGTCAGCTACTTATCACAAATGCTGAACAATTCTTCATCTTAAAGTCCATGCCGTGTGGCGTTGGTAGTCATTGTCTAACAACCTTCTGTCTCATGTACTTTCAATCAGCTCTCACACAAATGATCCTCCATGCCATCATGAGGCTTCCTCTGCCTCTTCTCCCCTTCAGAAAGTTTCCTTCTGTCACGATGTTATCCAGTTATCCAGTTTTCTCCTTCTCATCACATGTTAAAAATTAAAACAGAACAAATGAAAGAATGGACACAATTGTCATAGCACTGGACTCACAGGCAGGCTCACCTTACATTCTGTCCTTCCAAAATTGTTCCCAACACAGCCATTGCATTAGCATATTTTTCTACAATAAGAAGTAGACAAAAACAAAAAACACAGACTCACTGGTGTCACTGTGTGTGAGAACTCAGGACTGAGGATGTGGGCTGGGTCTATCTGGTCAGCCTTCCGGGTCACAGCTGGACTGTCCCTTGGGGGCAGCCTGCAAACAAATAATGGAATAAGCAGATTAGACTCAAGACAGAGCAGTGGTCAGTTGTCACGCTGACTAAACTTTGAACACCAGCAGTAATTATGCGAGATGTATCTTCTGTTTGTTGGGTCTTCCTCATCTTCACTGTTTTAGTGTCGTCAATGCCTTGTGCTTGTTCACCGCATAGCTGCAAAATTTACACCTTTCAGTGGACACATTGGACCCTCTATGGGTATTTGGTATCCGACTTAGCCTTCCTGGGTGGTGTCATGGGAAATGTGTAGCCCAATGTGTGTGGTAACTTCGCCATTTCCTATTCCACATGTGTAATCCCTAGAGGACCAGGACAGCCACATGCTTACTAGTTGAACCTCAAGGGATGGCAGGAGCATGAGCATTGCCCCACCATCCAAGGAGGCCTCCATAAAAGGTTTATGGTTCAACATCCACTGGAAGGCAGACATTTGGGCCTGTGCATCTGCATTCAACTCGAATGAGCAATGAAAAGAGTTTGCATCTACTACAGTGGAACAGGGGTAGAGAACTGTTTCCAAACTTGTACAAACAAATTTGACAATGTAACTCATGTACAGGGAGTCCCCGTGGGGTAGCGGCTAGATGCTCGCATGCGGATCAAAAGATCATGAGTTCGCTCCCTGGTGGAGCCGGACTTCTTTCAAAAATGACCTTGACTCTCAGGTTGACCCAGTATTGAGTGGGTACCACCGGGTGCAGTCCATGGAAGTAAAGGTGGCCTGCGTGATTTTGACCACATCACCCATTTTGTGCCGACTGGTCTACACAAAATATAGGTCTAGCCCTATATGCCTTATATGCCTAAAGGCGTGGAAAATGGACCTTTACTTTTTACTTTTTTTTACTCATGTACATCACGTACACCACGTACGCCATCTGCGCACTCACAAAACCTAACCCAGACATCATTGGATGAAAGGATTAGTCATCACTTGTGATGGACAAGCTACAACATAGAGAAACAAAAACAGATGACCTTTCCAGATAAATTTCACATGACAAAACAACTCACCTTTCCAGACAAATGTCACATGAAATTTAAAAAAAAAAACTGACTGTACAGATAAATGTCACATCGCAAAACAACTCCCTTTTCCAGACAAATGTCACATAAAATTAAAAAGCTCACTGTATAGATAAATGTCACACGGCAAAACAACTCAACTTTCTAGACAAATGCCACATGACAATTAAAAAAACTCACTGTACAGATAAATGTCACACGGCAAAAAACAACTCAACTTTCCAGACAAATGTCACATGACCCAAAAACGTGCTTGTACAAATAAATGCCACATGACAAAAGAACTCACTTGTATAGACAAATGTCATATCACAAAATTACCTGTGTTTTAGGACACATATATCACATAACTATATACAACAAAACTGAATAGACAAATTTTAACACCTAGAGGACTGACGTGTCAACACAGTTTCATCTAAAACCTAGGGAATTGAACTGCCCACAGTGTTTTATCTGAAACCCTCTAGTTACAGTCCTGGCCACTTCGAAATACTAAGTTAAGTGTATTGGTGATGTATTGTTTTATTTATGTAAGTGCTGATTAAGGCTTCATAGCCGCAACGTTAACGCTTTGTTTCATTTCGTTATATTGTGAAGTTTGCTGATATACTTTTCGTTCGGTTTTATATCTTTTATTGATACTTTTACAGTATAACAACTCACTTGTATAGACAAACATCGCCCGCCACAATTATATCCTATGATACTATAACACTATGACCATTGGCTGTGAGTCCCAAACATCACATCAGGCTATTATAACATCACATGACACTGTTATATCACATGACACTATTATATCATATGACACTAAAACAAAACTCTTGTGTAAACAAACATCACATTTGGCTATTATATATAATGACACTACTATATCACATGACACTTATGTCACATGACATTATAACATCTCAGTTATGGAGACATCAAATGACACTGTTATATCACATGACACTGTAGCAACTCAGCTGTGGAGACATCATCACATGACACTGTTATATCACATGACACTGTTTAACAACTCACATATGGAAACAAATACCACATGACACTGTAGCAACTCAGCTGTGGAGACATCATCACATGACACTGTTATATCACATGACACTGTTATATCACATGACACTGTTTAACAACTCACATATGGAAACAAATACCACATGACACTGTTTAACAACTCACTTGTAGAGAAGCTGTGGAATTTGTCCAGCATTGACATCTGTCCCATTGTTAGATTTTCTTGAGCTTTTGAACTTGAATACCACCCTGTTCCATACATTGTTACTATTATTATTACACTGACTATTATATTATTATCACTGTTACTATTTGATGATTAAATTATTACTGTTATTTTTTTAATATATCATCATTACTGTCATTTTAAAAAAGTGATCAGATATCTGGTTCTCAGTCGGTACTGAGGAAAGTGAGAGGGAGGGACAGACATATATATATGTGCAAGCGGGATATGAATGATACAGGTACTGGGGTGAACTCGTGGGAACCAAATGCCATGGACCGTGTTGTGTGGAGGGAGTACATCAGGAAGGGACTGAGAATGAAGGAAGAAATGATTGCAGAAAAAATGAGAGCTGAGCCTCTGAGAAGAAATGGACTCAACACAAATGTTGACAACATTGGTCATGAAATCCCTGGCTGTCATTGTGGAAGAATTTTCTTAACACGGGCAGGCTTTGCAAGTCACACTCGCCATCACCATGAGCTGCGAGTCCCATGCCTCCTCATAGCGCAATATAACACTATTATCTGGAAACATGGAAAGGTGCCAATCATATATTTATAAATATGCAGACTTCAAAAGACAGTCTCATGTAGAAGTTTAAAGACAAATCAGGAGCATCCATGACCAAAAAAAGGGAGTACAGTGGAGGTAAGATAAGGGCAAAGAGAGGCAAGGTTAAAGTTAGAAAACTACAATGTGGAAAGTCACAAACACCCCTAGGATAACTGAAACTTACGAGTCGTCTGTATGAACCGTGGACAGGCCATTAGCTCCACAGTCAGAGCTGGGGCCTGAGATTCGGGCCCAGGCTACATACCAGTAGTTGGCCTGGATGGGGATGGGCTCGTCAAACAGCATGGCATACTTCTCTCTGAAATTGATGTTGGCAATGATATACAATAAAAGCTGTATAGATTTTGAGTTACATAACTAGTTGTGAACTTTAACCTTCCCAAAAGCAAAGGGGCAGGGTTTACCACTATTGTCCCTCACCCCAAGAAGAATAAATCTAGCTACTTCTGATTCTAACACAACCCTGCAAATCTGATATTTACCATGTCTGCTGTGGTAAAGTGGTCAAGCCCTTTGTCTCACTCTGAAAGCCGTGGGTTCATGTCACGGCTGTGCCCTTCAGTTCATGGGTGCAATTTTTACAGAGATCCCTGGGGATCGTCGCTAGAGCTATTGAGTTTGTGCTCTCGGTTAACCATTCCTGGAGAGAGACTGAGCCATATGGGATCAAACCTGGTGCAATGAAGTCGATCCTCTCGACTTTAACCTTAAACCTCATCTTGTAAAGAGTAGTTGAATTCTATTGGTTCTGTGTGTGCCTGTGCAGTTTAATTGGTCATGATGTGAATACAGTAACTTAACAATTGTATTTAGGCGGTGTCCTTATAACCCTGGGAACCACCATGGTGTAATGACTAGACACTTGCCTGCGATTCCAAAGGTCATAGGTTCAAATCTGAACAGAGCTAGACTTCCCCCGCCCCCCAATAAAAAATGACCTTTGCTCCTAGGTTGACCTAGCCTTAAATTGGTACAAGGTATAAGTCCCGGGAAGTAAAGATGCCTGGCGAAATGTTGACCACATCACTTACCAAGCACCAACTGGTCTACAAATATATGTTCCTAGAATTCAAACGGGTTCATGACTCGATTCAGTTAGCATTCGCAGTTAGCATTCGCAGTTAGCATTCGCAGTTAGCATTCGCAGTTAGCATTCGCAGTTAGCATTCGCAGTTAGCATTCGCAGTTAGCATTCGCAGTTAGCATTCGCATGGCGAAAAGGTTACAGAAAACTGTCCAAGTAGTTTACGTGTGCCTTGAAAGTAATTTTAAACGAAATGATGACATACTGAGCACATCAGGAGGAGAAGCACAGAATCAGCACACAGGCACTGCAATGGGAAAACACAGGACTGAGGAAACAAGGGTGCCCAAGAAAGACCCTGAGAATAACGGTGATGAGGACAAAGGTCATCAATTGGAATCCATCTACAATATTGAAAAGAATGTGCAGGGTATAATGGACTGCCTACGTGTGGCTTCTGGGGTCCAGAACAATTGCCCTCCTAGAAAACATGTCATACAAGGCGATTAATTAGGAGTTTCCTTCGAAGTCAGAATGCATCTGCCTGAGAGGTGAGGAACCAACAGTCTGCATACAAAAAAGCCAGATCTGTGAAACAGATGTGCAAACAAAAGTCAAGTTTTGGAACAAGGCTGAAGTCCAGAAATGGAAAAATAAATGAGAACTTTCCTGCCGGAGTTGACCTCCGGTGAATGCTAAAGGAGGAGGAAGAATGAACTGAAGCAACAAACTATGAGCACCATGAGAGGTATAAACATGGGACGTGATGAGCCAGTGACATTTAACCCCACCTGGACCCCACAATGAGGGATAAACACCTGGTGACACAAGGTGCCACAATTCGAATGAGAATCCCCCAGGCAAAAGTTCCAGAAACTCTATTCAACCGTTATGTTATATTAGGGGCCCCAACGACAGCTGGGGTGGGGTTTTCAAATTAAAAATTAAAAAACTGCACCCCATACTGCGGCAGAGTTATATCAAGGACATTCTGATGATGAATATGTATATAGATGTCACAATGTGAAACATACAGTGAGATCACAAGAGCTTACCTGGCACCACAAACAAACTGGGTTTCCTCGGTCTCAGCCAGCAGCTCTCCGTCTCCCTCGTTCTCCCCTCCGTCCAGGCCGAGCTCGTACAGCTGTGTTCAGAGAAGATTCCGGAACAGATTTATGAATCTCCACATTAACAACACACTTTATATTATTCTGTACTCACCTTTATTCTTCTGTGCTCACCTTTATTCTTCTGTGCTCATCTTTAACAATTTCAAGGCCAAACAACTCACCATGTATTTCTGGATCAGTTCAAAGATAATATATTGTTGTTTGCATTCGCAGCTGACCCTAGCGGAAAGACCTGGTTGTTCGTCTATTTCTAGACTTTGGCTTTGTTCCCAGACTTGAGTTTTGCATTCGTTTCACAGACCTTGCTTATTTGTATGCAGGCTGTTGGTTCCTCACCTCTAAGGCAAATGCACTCTGACTTTAAAGTAAGCCTCTAATTGGTTAACTCTTACAACAGGCTTGTTGGGGGAGGTAGTGGGTTGTTTTCCCCACAACGGGACCCCAGAACCCGGATGGGAAAAAGATAATATCATTTACCAGCTGTCTTCTGCCACAGAGAAATGTTTTATCAGTCCTTATTATCTAGATCACTGTTCTTCAATTCGATTGTTAAAGGGGGCAAATCAAAACAGACTCGTCCAGAGTTTGTTACACAGGGGGGGACATAAGAATTTTAGAAAGGCTTAGGTGGGGCATGGCACAAAAAAGGGTTAGGAAACATCATCATCATGTAGCAGGTCCTTTGCAGAACCTCGCTCTTATCACGGTTTGCCTGAAAGAAACTCAGTCTCTCACCAGCTCTCCCAGTTCATGTACTTTCATACTCAAGGAGTCACTTATATCCTGTGCCCATCTTCATGTTGGTCGGCCTTGACCCTCTTTCCTGGTAACATGCCTTCTGCTATTATTTTTTCCAATCCGTCGTAGAGCTTGATATGACCAAAATATTTCAGCTTCTGAGATAGGACGCTGGATTATTATTAGCCAATCTTCCTTGGTGTTCAGATCTTTCAAGATGTCAATATTTCTTATCTTCTTTGTCCAAGATATTCTGAGAATCTTTTTTATAGCATTTCAGCTCAAAAGCCCCTATTCTCTTTCTTAAGGACTGGGAGACAGTCCACGACTCACATCCATATGTTACAGGGAAGATGCATGCTCTCAAAATTCAAATTTTGATCTCCTTGCTGGTGCTTAACCACAGACTTTTAAAGCTGTTCAATCTTTGCATTGTTATGGCCATCCTCCTTTTAATTTCTGTAAAACAGTCTCCGTTGCCATTTATTATTCAGCCTTGATATTCAAAGTTTGTGACATTTTGAATTTCTTCATTGGTTAGGAAACACTGGTAAAAAATGCAGTCTCACAGTACTAAAACAAGTCAATTATAACACTATCTCAACAAGCAAACATAAATAAGCAGTACCTTGATTCTGCCCAGATAGCCTCCTCGACCACCAAACAAGCCAAACCCACCCAGCAGAACATCCGTGTCACACATGAAGCGAATGGCTTCTACCGAATGTCCTGAGTAGCCCCAGCCGCCACCATGACCTAGTCGGGGGGGAAATACATGAAAATGAATGACATAATGGAAGAAACAAAACAATATTCATGGATTTCTGGTCTGCTCAGTCATGTCATGATCACATGCACTGCTGATAAGTTCCCTCCCTCCAGATTGGCTGTCACTAGGGAGGATTAACTCTTTGAGTCCCAGGGGGTTTAGCATCCCAGGCCCAGGGGGTAGTGAAGAAAGTCATAAAATCGGCGCATCATGCGTTCATTGGGCTTCTAGATAGGAACCTGTGAACGTATGATGCGTTCCTTGGGACTCAAAGAGTTAACATCTCAAGGGTGAGAATCAAACATGTGGAAAACCCTGTTCAACTATACAGCCATAAAAGTGAAGTTAAGTTAGTACTTTTCAACACCTTCAGGCGTAGTAGGCATATAATTCCTCTTCTTCAGCATTCTGAGCCCTCGAGGTTCACTGCTGCAGATATCACCAGCCTTCATTCATCTCTCTGGTTGGCCTTCTCTTTCCAGTTGGTGACATCAAGGGTTTGCAGGTCTGTCTGGACATTATCTCTCCATCATCATCTTTGTCTGCCTCATTGTCTACGATCATTCATCTCCCTTGAGTAGGCATATAATGCTAGACCAATATTTTAAAAACCAATCGGCATTTAGTGGGTAATATGATCAACATCACGCCGGAAGCCTTCATTTCCCAGAACTTTCCTGGTACCCATTTAAGGCTGGGTTAGCCTGCGCGACAAAGTCATCTTTGAAAAAAGTCCAGCTCTGTCAGTAACCAAACCCACGACTATCGGATCCAGACAAGCGTCTAACTACTACACCAGGGCAGCTTCCATATAGGAGTTACATTGGGGCACCACAAAATGGTTACAAAATAGCCTGTGACAGTGTCGATTGTCAGGGGTCACCATGTTACACAGCCTCAGATCAAATATTTGTTCGTGATCTATGTTATATGGCCGAGCCACTGAAGTATGTTCCTCTTTGTTTACCCTTAATCTTCTGCCATCAAGTTTACCAGTGTTCACTAAGTTTACTTCATCCATGCTGTGCCCAAAACATTATCATTTATGTCTAATTTTTACCTGGCTCTCTAGCGTAGTTGGCTAAACCGGACTGCGCGGTGACCGGGTGACGAACTCCTTCTGGTCCGGGTTTAATCCCGGGGGTAGGCAGAAAAGCCACATTTCTCCCAGATTTACGGTATTTATCATGTAATCAAGGCCAAAAGGTTGCGATATCCAAAATACTGAGCCTAAGGGTTAACAGTTCATGGCTTCTGGATACTAAAACAAACAACAAAAAAGTCTAATTTCTTTCAATTTTCTTTTTCTTTGTTCGCCCTGAAAAGGTCAGTTGGTATGTTGTGTTGCGTTATACAGCTAGGCAGTGATATCTGCACCTTTCAGCCTAAACATATCCAGTTTCAGCAAACCTTTAAATTATTTGCCTTTTATGACATGCTTGCACTCCCACTTTGATGGATAACCCCCCACCCCCTTCCCTAATTTAGTCAACTGTTAGAACATATTTTTAAGGGGGCAGTGAAGCTATCCATTGTTCTCCATAAGGAGGTCACCATGGAACCCATCTGGGGGACTTACTTTCAAACCTGTTGACCACACTGTAGTCGTCTTTGCTGTAGATCTTGCTAATGGAAGTCTTCTCCCGGGACTCCTCCACCACCTGCAGCTTCAACTGGTTGGCGATGGTCAAAGTGTCCAGGCAGCCTGCAGGACAAGTTCACAGATCTTAAGCTGAACATTAAGTTGACTGAATCTGCTATCATGACCTTTAGTTTACATAAGATGACTTATTTGCTATTATGACCTTTAGTTAAACATAAGCTGACTGAATCTGCTGTCATGACCTTTAGTTAAACATAAGCTAACTGAATCTGCTGTCATGACCTATAATTAAAGATAAGTTGACTGGATTTGCTATCATGACCTATAGTTGAACATAGGTTGACTGAATCTGCTTTCATGACCTTTAGTTGAAAATAAGTTGACTGAATCTGCTATCATGGCTTTAGTTTACAAAAGTTGACTGAATATGCTATCGTGACCTTTAGCTGAACATAGGTTGACTGAATCTGCTATCATGACCTTTAGCTGAACATAAATTGACTGAATCTGCTATCATGACCTTTAGTTGTTCATAAATTGACTGAATCTGCTATCATGACCTTTAGTTGAACATAAGTTGACTGAATCTGCTATCATGGTAACATAGTCAAACAAATGCAACAAGTGCTTTAAACACACACAAATAATGAATATGTAAAATAATAAATTAAAAAGTGTTATTTAATGATCTTTTTTTCCCTTCTAAATTAAAAGAAATAGTAATATTTAGGACTGCTCAACAGCAAGAAAACAGTGAACAAAACGTCCCTGTGATCAAGTGAAATATACAGACCAAGAAGACAGAACGAACAAGAAGCAGGAAAAGGAGTAAACTCAAGAGCAGAGAAGGCAGATGGCAGGCAACTGAGAGCACACCTTTAGTGAGTTCTTATTAGGACCGGCATCTTTCAGGACCCACGCTAAGCACTTACATTTCACAGCAGAGGAAACTCTTCAGATGCTAAAACACTGATGAACATCGAAGGCACAGAACAGAGTAAAAGACACGAACTGTCTGCCATAAAGACACATCCAGAAAGATGAAACACAAACTATAGACCACAATTATAACCTAGGCCAGATTTTATGGCCCCATGATGACTTCTCGTGGACTTTGAAGCTGCACAAGGAAAATAAATAACAACTGAAGGAGATTAGGTGAACTCGAAGGTTTGGGATTTGAACAATGGATCAACATCATGGCACAAGGGTAGTAACCCATGAGTGCTCCATTCTTCTTCTAACTCAAGTCTGAGTCTGAAGAAGCTCAGCACAGTGCACAGACTATGTAGCACCGATGAGGATCCTAAAATACTTTAGGTAGATTTTTAACTCCAAATTTTTTTCCGGGCAGTGCCATTAGGCTACTATTTTCGATTTCCAACTGTCAAGGAACTTTTTAACATGCGCAACAGTCCACATGGGTGTCCGATCTCACTACCCAGAGACCAGGGAGAACTACTATAAGTCCAAGTCCACGTGAAAAAATCCCAGCCCTTACCGGGGATTGAACCCGGAACCTCTAGCACTTGAGGCGGACACCATACCTTGAGACCATGCAGCCCCCTAGGTGAACTCTAAAAAGAAGAATAAGAAAATTACAGAATAAAGAACAGAAAGTAGAATCAGCTGCCACAAGCTCCAAAATTACTGACTGACAACAAAGCCAGCAGGCCTATTATACACTCAATTGCACGTGTGCTTCCTGAAACTGAACGCCCCAGTTTGGAAGGCCTAAGGAGGCTCCACCAAAGAAATTCCTTCTAAACCTGGCTCCGCAAGTCAAAATAGTTGGGACCCACTGACGCATGCTGTACTCAGGTCTGTAATAGATTGTTCCTGATATGATTATGTGACTTAATGTGAGATGACTGATTTCATTTCATTGCACTGGGTTTTATCCCATCTGTCTTGGCATCTCTCCACAGAGCAGCTGGTCATCTGCCGAAAGTGTAACACAATGCACATAACTGAGCTTCAACAATGATTCTCAGAATTTAATGTTAAAAAAAAAGACTTCTGAACCAAGAAGATGGTAGAGAGACAATATATACAGACCTAAAAACATTCTGAGCATCAACTGGAATAGGAAGACTAATCCCAGAGATGATTGGAGATGAAAGATATCTGCAAACATCTAACCTCAAGGGCTTGAAATGCTCAAGAAGAAGAAAAAGGAGGAGTAAGAGGAGGAGAAGAAAAATAATTCATGAACCAAATAAAACAATCTGAAAATGAACTCATAAACTTCAGAGCTCAAGGCAGAGGGCTTGACCTCTTCACCACAGAGACCATCTAAGGACCAGGACACTTACCCAGCATGTGCAGTGCACAGTGTGAGCGGGTAGCCTGGCAGCCGATTCTTGTGGGCACGGCTAGTTCTGGGCTGAAGATATCGCAGTAGCCAGGATCAATCTTCTTCAGGTCATGAGCTTCACTGATCATCACATTGTAGCAGCGAATCTCTTGGGTCTTTGGGTTGTACCTGCAGATACCAGAATAAACAGTTCAAACAATACATTCAAGTTATAATACACACAAAAAGACAAATATAAACTTCTTCTTTTTCTTCTCTTGTCCTTTTGCTTATGCGATAAAGTGGTGCAGATGAGTAAAATATAGTTCCCTGTTTTTTTCCCACAACCGGGCCCCAGAACCCAGATGGGGAAAAGATAATATCATTACCAGCTGTCTTCTGACACAGAGGAATATTTTTTCAGTGGTTATTATTTAGATCACTGTTCTTCAATTCAATAGTTAAGGGAACTTGTGTTAATGTGATAAATTATATCAAATCTCTGTCACCAGTAAATCAGGATACAAGGCAGCTCAGGGTGGGAGAAGAGATACCTGAGATGCTCCATCAGTGAAGAGATACCTGAGAAGCTCCCTCAGTGTAACCAAAGTGGATCGGGGGAAAATAACTTGGAAAATGGCAGCAGCAACATTACATACTGATTACAACAGACAGAAAATACGATGGTTTGGTCATCTAATGAGAAATGAACATGCAAAACTGCCCCTCTATCTCTACAACTATAGAAAACAAATGGGTTACAAAGCATTAAGGAAGATCTAGGAGCAGACGCATCAACAACATCAGCAAAACTGTACAAAGACACAGGACCACACTAGACAATGTGCATAAACTGCAGTTATAGACAAGCCCTGGTGGCAAGGTCTGAACTAGCACAGAGAATTAATCTTCTTCTTCATGTTCAGAGGCTGTAAACTTTGGAGGAGAGTTCTGGTTGTTTGCCAACTTTAGGACTTGTCTTGTTCTGGCACTTAAGTTTTGGGTGCTCATCTGTTTCAAAGATCTAGTTTACTTATATGCAGACTGTTGGTTCCTCACTTCTCAGGCAGATGCACTCCGACATCAAAGGAAACATCCCTACTTAGTCAACTCTTATGACAGGCTTATTGGGAGCAGTGCCCCCCTCCCTTTTCAATGTTACCCCGTGACCCATAAAGTCAGCATAGAGAATAAATAAATTATTTTACTGGTATTAAAAGGGGATAAACAAGACAAGAAAAGAAGACAAGACAGACAAACTGTTGGCAGCAATTAGCAAACAGTGGCTAGCATGATGTCAATGAGTAAAAATGTTTCAAGTAAGCATCAGTTACTAGTAACTGGCCAGACTCTTGCACTGCAGGTTCTAGCGATATATGGACAAATCAAATCCAGAGCTTTTATTGTGACGATGCACAACAGTATGCAGCATCCCCATTTTTTCCCTCATCATTTTGTCAGCACTACTGTAAAAGACTGCAGCAAGTGCACAATATTTCTTTCTTATGAAAAAGCCCTGATAAAATAACTTAAAAACTATTCAATGGTTACCCCAGATAGCTGGCAGACAGCGATTCTCTCTCTCTCTCTCTCTCTCTCTCTTTCTCTCTCTCTCTCATAAGAACAAACAACACATATATCCACAGCCTTAACTTACACACATAAATGATCATAATAAGCCCTTGATCCTTACCCCCAGAGAACATCATAGACTGGGTCCAGACACACAGCCTGGTTGCTCAAGTCCTCCTGTTCCTCCCCAGAAAAACTGTGGACAGTTCACAATTCACATTACACCTACAATCAGGGCTTTTAACCTTTTTTTGTTGATCCAAAAATGACATTATTTTTGACTGGTGATTTCTGATGAGTCAATATGCCATGTGTGGTTTTACTTCTAAACTTCTGTCAGAACATCCTAAAGAACTTCAGGTCACTACAACCGAAAGGTAGGTTTAAGGTTTTTCAGTGGTGACAAGTTTTTGCTTCTGGCAATAGTTAACAGCTGCATTTTCCTTGACATGTAGACAAAGGATATAGGTCCATCGCCCAGCTACTGAGATAAGTGCATGGTGCAACACTGTGAGCTGCGTTTTATTCAATTTTATTTTTTCATTTGGAATGCATTCAACTGTGCCCAACATGATTTTGATTGTGATCCGCAGATTCAGAAAATGGCAAGTGGCCTGTTGCCACAGAACTGGTGATGCCTTTCACGATTGTGTGTGCAACTAGTGACCTGTCGTAACTGTTGCTTCCATCTATAATGAGCTGCATTTATAGTAAGTATCTGTGTGTGTTGGCATTTCTGATGGCTGTCTTATGCACTTAATGCTGAGACTGCAGCCTGTGTCAAATTGTTGTTGTTGTTTTTTTTTTTCAACAAGGGACCGTGATGGACATTCTGTGTGTTTTTTGTTGGCACAGGAGCAGAGCAACTAAGGGGTGACCCGTTTGCTAGGAATCTTGAACGGTAATTACCTGAGAACATATTCAAGAAATCTGGGAATGTTTTTCTCTTTTTAACGTGTGCATATCTGGCCCTGTTCAAGTAGTATAAGCAAACAAAATCATGTCAGTTCACTTCTTCATCATTCACCCTGACAAGGGCGGTCGATGCACTGCATTTAAGTCTGGGGCTTGACTGCGTAAAGTGTGTGGGTGTGTACATTACATTGATTTCATGCACACACAAAAGTAAAGAATATGAAGGTCAGCTCACCTTTTGCAGCTTCCATCAGTTTTGCTGATCATGAGGCACTTCATCGCCCGAGCATTGTCTTCTCCTCTGGGGATAAGACCTGAAAGAAGATGTTATTTCACTGAAAACAGAGAAAAGGCTGGGAGAGCAGGTAATTTTTTTTATTGAAGACAGTGTATAAATCAGAATAACAGACAATAATGTTGAAGACAGTGTACAAATCTGAAAAACAGGTAATTTTACTGAAGATTGTGTATTGATAAGAATAAACAGGTAATTTCACTGAAGACTAAAAATTAGAAGAACAGTAATTTCACTGAAGATGATGTATAAACTGGAAGAACAGGTGATTTTCTTAAAGACAGTTTACAAATAAGAAGAACAGGTAATTTTATTGAAGACAGTGTACAGATAAGAATAATCAGATAACTTTTATAAAGACAGTTTATAAATCAGAAGACACTACAAATCAGAAGAACAGGCAATTTAACTGAAAACAGTGTACAGGCTGGAAGAGGAGGCAATTTCATTTGAAGTGCACAAATCAGAAGAACAGGCAATTTCACTGAAAATGGTGTATAAACTGGAAGGACATATTATTTTAAAGAAGACAGTGTACACATCAGAAAAACAGGTAATTTTATTGATAGTGTGTAGGCTGGAAGTACAGATCATTTTACTGAAAACTGTGTACAATTAAAAAGAAAAATTTTAATTTCACTGAAGATGGTGTATAAACTGGAAAAACGGGTGATTTATACTGGAAAAAGGGGTACAAATCAGAAGAACATGTAATTTTATTGACAGTGTGTAGGCTGAAAAAACATAAAATTTTATTGAAAAAACTGTAAAAAAATCAGAAAACTTAAATTTCATTGAAGTCTGTGTATAAACTAAAAGAAGAAGAGGTAATTTTACTGAAGACTGTGTACGGGTCAGAAGAACCGTTAATTCCATTCAACACAGTGTAGACTGAAAAAACAGGTAATTCCATCCAACACAGTGTAGACTGAAAAAACAGGTAATTCCATTCAACACAGTGTTGACTGAAAAAAACAGGTAATTCCATTCAACACAGTGTTGACTGAAAAAACAGGTAATTCCATTCAACACAGTGTAGACTGAAAGAAAACAGGTAATTCCATTCAACACAGTGTTGACTGAGAAAAAAAAAACCAGGTAATTCCATTTAACACAGTGTAGACTAGAAAAAAAAACCCCAGATAATTTGAATAAAGATCATGCATAGTTTCAGAACTTGTACCTCTAGAAAGAACCTGCTGGCCACCAATGCTTGGAGCTATCTGCCCTCCAACATACTATTAACGAAGTAATGCAAAGCTAAAAACAAAAACAGACAGAATTCACCCACCTATACAAGTCTTGCTGGCAAAGATGTTTGACCTCGCCAAAGTGTGAGCGTTAATGAGTGATTCATCAATCCTCATGATAGTCTGGTCGCCGCTGGCACCAACCCAGGTAGCCCGCCGGCCATATTTGGCACCTAAAACAAGGTCATGAAAAATCTCAAGATTCTCTTTTCTCTCACTCTCTCTCTCACATACACACAATGCGGTGATAATTTACAGTGAACTAGTCTTTTTTCTGCCTTTTAACCCCCAATGGAGCATAGGCCCTCAACCAACTCATGCCAACTCATTTTATGATTTGCTATAGCACGCAGTCCTCCCCATCTTTTTGACTTCACTCTCTAGCTCCCTTCTCCATGTGTTTCTTGATCATCCTTTATTTCTATGTTCCTGTGGGTTCCAGTGCAAAGACATTTTAGTTATAGTGTTCTCAGGTTTTCTTAATGTGTGTCCTATCCAAAGCCAGCATCTTTTTTCATGTGAACTAGTAGTAGGCGCACAAGTGTAGGCTCAACAGATTAGCTGTTGAATTAACAAAGTCCCAGTGTGGGTTTCAAGGCCCCATTGTGAGGGGTTGGGGGCAGATCCACTGCCCCTCAACAAGCATGTTTGAAAAGACAACTAATTATAAGTTTTCTCAAATCAGATAGGTCAAAAAGCGCAGATATCGAAGCGTAGCAGCAAACCCCTGATATCAGATATGTTAGGTCAAAAAAGGCAGATATCGAAGCCTAGCAGCAAACCCCTCAAATCAGATATGTTAGGTCAAAAGAGGCAGATATCGAAGCCTAGCAGCATCAAATCAGAATGTTAGGTCAAAAAGCTAGCGAAGCCTAGCAGCAAACCCCTCAAATCAGATATGTTAGGTCAAAAGAGGCAGATATCGAAGCCTAGCAGCAAACCCCTCAAATCAGATATGTTAGGTCAAAAAGCGCAGATATCGAAGCCTAGCAGCAAACCCCTCAAATCAGATATGTTAGGTCAAAAAGCGCAGATATCGAAGCCTAGCAGCAAACCCCTCAAATCAGATATGTTAGGTCAAAAAGCGCAGATATCGAAGCCTAGCTAGCAGCAAACCCCCGCCAAAAGTCAGATAAAAGATGGATTTACAAGGCCCATTAGGTCCATGTAAAAAGCGCAACATATCTTCCATACAATCTCACTGTTCTTTCCCCATCCATATGTACACACAAAACTCACAACTATGAAACAATCAATGTCATGACATACACATACCAACACCGGGCACTGGGCCAGGCACAGTGTACCAGGGGATGTTCTTGCTCTTCACTGGGGACTCATCCAGGCCATTGCGTCCCAGTGATCCTTTCTGCAAATGTTACACACACGTTATAATATCTGTAAGTAAGCTCTTCACCGTCTACTAATTACAGTCAATTTATTCATATCTAAAAGCTTTGATGGCTTAGTGGCCAGAAATACAGCTGCCGGCCCGCAGGTCTAGGGTGGACATCCACACCAGGCAGATTTCTCTTCTCCACAGTTCTATCGCGGCGTCCGTGGCTTAGGTGTTGCAAGTCCGACTCATAATCCAACGTTCCGCGATCGAAAAACACTGCTGGCTGCGTGGATTTTTATCATGGTATGGGGCGTCGAAGGCAAACCCAGCCTAAAATGGGTACCAGGATGGCTGTCCTGGGAAAGTAAAGACGACCGGCATAATGCTGACCACATTACCCATTCAGTGCCGATTGGTTTGTAAAAATATGGAACGCTCTTCCCATATACCCAATGCGCCTTAGCACTAACATTCTGATAAAGTGGAAATAAGGCAACAACACAAGGAAGGAATTAGGAATTAGGAGAATGGCTGAAGCAAATAAACACCTCCTTGCATACAGTTAAGACAAGGGCTTTGTCCAAATTACTCTTGCTGTCTGCATTTTAAAAAAATACAATGAAAGTGGAAAGAAGAAGAAAGCTGGCTGCCTTGACTTACAGAGGCAAATCTGTAGTTAGCATCCTTTGGATATTTTCTCCAGGTTATGCTGGTGTGCTTGGAAATGAGCAGGCAAATAGACTGGCCGACCGTGCACCATTTGGTGGTGAATTGATTTATGACAAGCTAGATATCGTGAGGGCCCTCTGGAAATGAGTGAACAGTGGGGATGCGCACAAAGATTATTATGGTCTGAGGAGAATGGCGCTGCGGGAAGTTAAAAAGGGATGTGGCCGACGCTCAACACTCAGAGGAAGGATGAGACGGATATACAATCAGACGGCTACTAGCGCTATTGAAATTGGAACTTTTCGCTTGCTGCTGAAGATGGGGGACAGAGCACTTATGGGAGTGTCCCGAGTGCTGTTATGTTGATTCTTAATTCAACATTTAACATTCAAGGAAAATCTGCACAACTTTATTTTAGAACCCTAAACTGTAACATTGGGGAAATCAAATTCTGCCGCAGATTTGAACCAGACCACTGTATTACTAAGCCTTACACTAGCCAGTATTGTACCAGGAAACCCTAATATCCATCAAAATTCTGGAGCTGATTCTCACCTGGTGATCCCCGCAAGTAAAGACTTGACCACTGGTCAGCAAAAAGACAGAATGATGGCTTCCTGCAGCCACCATGGTGGCCGGTAGTGGGAGAGGGACCTTCGTTGGTCGACCCCTAGAAAAAATGTTACAAATGAGAACGGTCAAACATCTTAGAATATATCATCACCGTACCATTATAGTTTCAGATATGTTATCTGTTTATTCTTGTATAAATGACTTGCAAGCTTCTAAAACAAATTATCACTGTACCGTTATAGTTTCAGATATGTTATCTGTTTATTCTTGTATAAATGACTTGCAAGCTTCTAAAACAAATCATCACTGTACCATTATAGTTTCAGATATGTTATCTGTTTATTCTTGTATAAATGACTTGCAAGCTTCTAAAACAAATCATCACTGTACCATTACAGTTTCAGATATTTTATCTGTTTATTCTTGTATAAATGACTTGCAAGCTTCTAAAACATATCACTGTACCATTACAGTTTCATATATTTTATCTGTTTATTGTTGTATAAATGACTTGCAAGCTTCTAAAACAAATCATCACTGTACCATTACAGTTTCAGATATTTTATCTGTTTATTCTTGTATAAATGAATTGCAAGCTTCTAAAACATAACACTGTACCATTATAGTTTCAGTTATATGTTTATTCTTGTATAAATGACTTGCAAGCTTCTAAAACAAATCATCACTGTACCATTACAGTTTCAGATATTTTATCTGTTTATTCTTGTATAAATGACTTTCAAGCTTCTAAAACATATCATCACCGTACCATTATAGTTTCAGATATGTTATCTGTTTATTCTTGTATAAATGACTTGCAAGCTTCTAAAACAAATCATCACTGTACCATTATAGTTTCAGATATGTTATCTGTTTATTCTTATATGTATAAATGACTTGCAAGCTTCTAAAACAAATCATCACTGTACCATTACAGTTTCAGATATTTTATCTGTTTATTCTTGTATAAATGACTTTCAAGCTTCTAAAACATATCACCACCGTACCATTGCAGTTTCAGATATGTTATCTGTTTACTTTTATAATTTACTTGTATAAATGACTTTCAAGCTTCTTCTTTAGCATTTGCGATTAAACTGTTTCTCTAGCAAGGAAAGTATCACGTGTTGATTTATAAATAATTTACCTGTTCGCTGATAATGAAAGAATTAAAATGGCAGCTGGAACAAGGTACTGTGGTTTACTGCCTAACCACGAATTCACTGCTTTCTGGCCCCAAACATCCAGTTACAGCAAAACTAATCAGTTGCCCCTTATGACATGCTTGCTAGTTGACAGTAGGTCTATTTTTCTTCCCCAAAAGCAGGAGGTTTTTCAAGCAATTTTGATATTCACCTGTGTGTCAGGGTTAGTATCCAATTTCTACCTGTCACAGAAAACTTCTTTCCAAAATATTATGTCCCAAGACCTCAGACAAAAAAGACCTGTGTTTCCAGATTCTCTTCTCTCTCTCTCAAGCACACACTTCACTCTCACTTATACAGTAAAAGAGAGAAGGAGAGAGAGAGAGAGAGAGAAAGACAGAGAGAGAGGGGGAGAGAGAGAGACAGACAGAGAGAGAGAGACAGACAGAGACAGAGACAAAGACACAGAGAGAGAGGGATACCTGATTTTTGTGTCCCCATGTCCAAGCTGTCCATTGTTGTTACTTCCGAAAGAGTACACATCACCATTTTGCAACAGTACAACTGAAAGCACAAATAAATATCATACGGCTGGCTTCTTAAAGTACAAATGAAAGACCAAATATGCAATATGCAGATCATTTATTAGAGTACACGGCTGAAGTACCTCAACAGATGAAATGGTTTGGTCATCTGACAAGAATGCCTTGGTACCAACTGCCCCAGTCAGCCATAATAAAGAAAGATAATAAACGCAGCAAGTGGAGGATCAACAACAACAAAATGGAACTACGACATCAAGAACAGCTTTAATATACAGCTTAAATTACACATTGCATTAGAAAGAACCCATGGAAGTTCTTTACATCTCCCACCATTTTTGTATGAGGTCACTTAAGGAGGAGGAAGACAAGGAAAAAGAAGAAGAGCCTCTGCTGCTTCTTCTTCCTTCTGTTCATGGCTGCAAACTCCCCTGGAAAGTTCTGCTTATTCATCCATTTCTGGACTTTAAGTCTTGTTCCAGAGTTTCGTGTGCGCTTCCATTTCACAGATCTGGCTTACCTATATGCCGACTGTAGATCCCTGGCCTCTCAGGTAAATGCCCTTCGACTTTAAATTAGCTTTCTCTGACAACATGCTTGTTAGGCATGAAGGGAAGAAAGGGAGGTTATATTCCACTCTCCACCTTCAGATGGGGCCCCAGAACCCAAATGGAACACACAAGGACTGCATTCTACCACTGAGGGTGTTTTCTTCTTTTAAATGATATCATCAACCTAATGAATGAATGAATGAATGAATGATTCAAGCAATCAAGAACTGACATCACTGCACTCGGGACATTCCCACATGTGTTCCATCTCCTTCCTCAGCAGCCAATGAAGAGTTGACCTGTAATGTAAATATGTTCCACTGGCCAGTGAATGGGAAAAACCAGTCTACACTAACTATACTAGCCTTGAACATACGAATGACTCTAATTGGAATGACTTACGAGTGTGGTGAAGCCCCACAGTTATCTGCACAGCAGGACTGCCAGAACCTTCCATGCTCATCTCTGCAGGAGGGAGGGACACCAGCTTTGTGACCTCAGCTTCTGCTTCATTAGCTCCTTCTGAAAGTACAATTAATGGACCAGTGATGCACTTAACCTTGATATCAAGCAACTGAGGTTACACTGTACATTTCCACAACCTGAAACACCCTCTCGTGAGACCCTTCGTTCATTCATTCATTCATTCTCCCCTCGGATGACGTCACAGGACAGTCACAAATTTTCTAGGGTGGTTTTTTTTTAAAATAAAGTTTGTTCGTTCGTTCTCTTTCTCAGACAAATGTTAGAACTATTCTTCTTCTTCTTTATCTTCATCATCATCAATGTCAGGATGGTAGTGAGGTTAAAAGAAGTGAGCAGTGACTGGGCTCAACTCAAGGATAGAAAGGCGGTCAACCATGACAGACTGGACTTAGCGGTAGTGAAGATGGGTTATGTGGTTGGTGATGACATTATCATGTCAGGAGAGAATTATGAAGACCTTGATGTCGATAGAGGTCGAGAGGAAGACTTGGGAAGTTTGGACAAAAAAGCTGGAAAATCAGTCGACAATAACATCAGGAGGAATGTGTAGGACAGAATGAAGTGAGAGATTTCAAATGAAAGGACAGTGTTATTCTAGGAGAAAGTGTGTGAACAGCTGCATTCAGAATTATGCAAGTACACTGAATACTACCTTGACTCCCAGATCGACCCAGCCTTGAGTAGTGGGTATTGGGTGGTACTGGGAAGTAAAGGCAGCCGGCATGATGCTGACCACATCACCCACCTTGTGCCGATTGGTCTATACAAATAGAGGTCTAGCCCTATATGCCTAAAGGCGTGGAAAAGGGACCTTTACTTTTGTTCTACTTTCACTGAACACTGAATTGTAGAGCAGAGTGAGCTATGACTGCTATAGAGAAAGCTGTTGTGTGGGAGCTAGGATTAGGAGGGATGAGACCTTTACCCTTTACCCAGGTCTCGCAGTCCAGCATCATAAAGTGGATCATGACAATCAACATCATCATGTGCCATGGCCATTAATGGATTGAACGGAAATGGAATGAGAAAACAAAGACATCCAGAAGAAGCTAGCAAATGAATGCTGATGAGAGAGGCCAAAGCTGCTGGACTAGATTCCATTCATGATACTGAAATCACTGCATAGAATAGAATGGAAGCATATATTTGAGCCCCATGTGATGTATAAAGGCGTATCATGCTGACAGGTAAACATGTAGAATCACCAATGGCATAATGTGCTGACTGGTACATATAAAGACAAGCCAATCAAACACGATGCACTGGCTAGTACACATAAAGAACAGCCAATCACAGATGACATGTTGGTTGATAGCCACAAAGAACAGCCAATCAAATCTGATATGTTAACTTTCACAAATAAAAAATAGCCACATTTGTTAACTATCACAAACAGAACATAGTCAAACACAAGTGAAATGTTAGTTGGTACACAAGAAGAACAGCCAATCAGACTTGATAAGTTAAAGGAACGGCCAATCAGACTTGATAAGTTAAAGGAACGGCCAATCAGACTTGATAAGTTAAGTATCAGAAATAAAGAATAGCCATTAGCAAGTAACCTATTAAGTGGTACATAAGAAAAAGCAGCCAACCACAAACAGAATAATACACGTAACAAAACATCGCCCAAACAGAGGTAGATTTAAAAAAGCATTTGATATTCAATTTTGTAAAGAAAACAATGCCAAACAATGCCTCACCTCGTTGCTTCCTTTCTTTCGCCAGCTTCTGTGCTTGCCTCAACTGCATTTTGTCTTTCTTCCCAGCTACTTCCAGTTTTCGACTGGCTTCTGTTTGAATAAAGTGAACCAAGAATGTTGTAGCTTCATGCTCTAGTACAGTGGCTCTCAACCTTCCTAGTTCTGTGACCCTTTAATACAGTTCCTTACGTTGTGGTGACCCTTTAATACAGTTCCTTACATTGTGGTGACCCTTTAATACAGTTCCTTACATTGTGGTGACCCTTTAATACAGTTCCTTACATTGTGGTGACCCTTTAATACAGTTCCTTACGTTGTGGTGACCCTTTAATACAGTTCCTTACGTTGTGGTGACCCTTTAATACAGTTCCTTACGTTGTAAGTAAAAGGTAAAGTAAAGATCCCTTTTCACGCCTTTCGGTGCATCGGGCATATGGGCAGAGCGTCCCATATTTTTACAGACCATCAGCACTGTGGGTAATGTGGTCAGCATTACGCCGGCTGTCTTTACTTTCCCAGGACAGCCCATCCTGGTACCCATTTTAGGCTGGGTCAACCTGTGACGTCCCATTCCACGACAAAAATCCACGCAGCCTGCAGTGGGTTTCGATCGCGGAATGCTGGCTTACG